AGAAAGCAGTGGCAGGAAGTGAAGGGCCAGACCCCCTCCCACCCCACTCTTGTCCCCCTGTCTGACCTCCTGCCTCCCGGGTCCTCTCCACCACTTGCCCATGATGCCTGTGCCTGCTTTCTGTCCTTGGTGCCTGCCTGCTTGCCCCCCACCATGACTGTGTCTGCTGTCTGCCAGTGTCAACACCCACCCCCCTTCTTGCTGTTTACCTTTGAGGAAGCTCTGGCTCCAGCTCTGGGGGAGACAATGGTGGCAGCCCAGCCAGGCATAAACAGCAGCATCAGATCTGGGGCTGGAGCCTAAGATCAGCTGGGGGAGGGATTGTGGGAAGGCTGCAGGGTCTCCCCCATGTTTCTTCCACCCTGCCCCACAGAAGTCCCTTTGCACCCCCCATTTCACAGGATCTCCCTCATGCTCTCATCTCTACCATGGGTCTCCTCCACATACCCCTCCTCCACCACAGATCTCCCCCATACTTGCCCCCCCACCTACACTGCACGGTATTCTCTGTGCTATCCCCATTGCATGTCCCTTTTCCCACCATATGAACCCCTCTGGGCTGGGGCAGGTGGCAGCTCAATTCCAGCTTTGGTTCTAAGCCTGAAACCAAGGCTGGAGTTGAGTCACCACCTGCCTCAGGCAGGTAATTGAATTGAAGATGAGGCTTATTTCCTGCCTCCCCCCATGTTATTTGGGGCAGAAAACTGTGTCTTGGATTCAAGTGAATGCAGTAATGCAGGGTCTGGGGTTTCTTAAGCCATCCTTTGGAATGTGTTGCAAGGTAGCCCAAGTGTTCCAGGAGCTTCTGTTCTTCCCATGACTTGTTTAACAGTGCCATAAACACTTGCTGACAGTTTCTGTGCTGATTTCAGAGGCGGACATCTGATTTAAGCTGCATGTCACTGATACAAGAGAAAGCAGACTTAGTTTTCCAAGGAAAATCCTTACAGCTTTGGAGAGATGGCTCTTAATGCAAACAGCTGAGGTGTAATCCTTGCCTTGGGGCTTAAACCAGAGGCAAGATTCTTCTTGCCACCTCCCTTTTTGGTTGTCTGGGCTTATAGTGAGGCTTTTTGTATAGCACGGTTGGGTACTTCATACCCAAATAAAATACTTTTGCTGTGAATGTTTACAGTGCACCATGACCATCTGACTCCTGCAGGTGCGATTTTTGTACTGCTGGCCTCCTATATGTTGGCTTTTCCCAGAAGAAAGCTCAAAATTAGGCCTGTGCAAAGTGGCTAGTATTCATTTTGAATTTGGCCGATTCAGGGGACAGTGATTTGATTCGGTGATTCAAATCATGGTCCTGATTCGATTTGGCTGAATCTGATTCTGAGATTCAGCAGCAGCCAAATCTCCGAATCAGCCAGGCCAGGCCCATCCCCCACCTCTCTCAGCCGGGCAATGGCTGCCTCAGCTCCAGGCACTTGTAAATAAAAAAAAAAAAAAAAAAAATTCCGACTCGGAGGATGCTGCTGGGCAAGG